CTGTTTCCAGATTCTGGCAATTACAAATAAAGCTGCTATGAACATAGTTGAGCAAATGTCCTTGTTGTATGGTTGAGCATCTTTTGGATATATGCTCAGAAATGGTATAGCTGGGTATTCCGGCAGCACTAGTCCCAGTTTTCTGAGAAAGCAATAGAATGATTTCCAAAGTGGTTGTACAAGTTTGTACTCCCACCAGCAATAGAGGAGAGTTCCCCTTTCTCCACAGCCTCTCCAACATGTGTTGTCACTTGAGTTTTTGATCTTAGCCCTTCTGATGGGATCTAAAAGTGAGATGGAATCTAAAAGTCATTTGATTTGCATTTCCCTAATGATGAAGAATGTTGAACATTTTTTTGGTATTTCTCTGCAATTCAATATTCCTCTGTTGAGGAATTCTGTTGAGAATTCTCTGTTTAGCTCTGTACTCCATTTTTTAATTAGATTGTTTGGTTTGTTGGTGTTTAATTTCTTGAGTTATTTATATATTCTGGATATTAACCTACTGTTAGATGTAAGGTTGGTGGAGATCTTTTCCCAGTCTGTAGGCTATCATTTTGTTCTGTTGACTATAGTCTTTGCTTTACAAAAGTTTTTCGGTTTCATGAGGTCCCATTTATTGATTGTTGATCTGAAAGCCTGAGCTCCTGGTGTTCTGTCCAGGAAGTTGTCTCCTGTGACAATGAGTTCAAGGCTCATCCCCACTTTTTCTTCTAACAGGTTTAGTTTGTCTGGTTTTATGTTGAGTTCTTTGATCTACTTGAACCTTATCTTTGTGCAGTGTGATATGGATATATTTGCAATTTTCTACATGTAAACATCCACTTAGACCAGCAACATTTGTGGAAGATGGGCTGTAGAGATGGCTCAGAAATTAGCAGCACTGGTTGTCCTTCCAAAGGTCCTGAGGTAAATTTCTAGCAACCACATTGTGGCTCACAGCCATCTATAAGAAGTCAAGAACTATTCTTGAAGAAGATCTTCTGTCTGAAGAAAAGCCAGAAGAATGATTCGACTCTGAAAAGTCCCAGCAGTAACTGTCACTGTGAATATATTCAGTTTCTCACTGCATCTCAATTTGCTAGTGAAGACTGACCAATTCTTTCACCCTTACTTTTTAGGTAGAGTTTTGGCATACTTGCAATATTTTCAAAAATTTTTGTTTTTTCATTGAAAACCATTGGGTTATGTTCTGTGATATTTTACTGTCATTTTTCATGTTTACCCCCATAATAAATAAGAATATAAAGTCAATGTTCATATCTATTAAAATATTTCTGATAAGATATTTCAACAAAGATTAAGCAATTAAAATATACAAACTGAACCAATACATGTTAAGCAGGTTTTTAAACACCTACAATTAATAAAATATCAACTTTAGACACTGCTAGGTAATTTTAAGATGTGTATTTCTTTTCAGGTATGCATTTTTTTCTAATTTATTTCTTTTTGCTTTTCTTCCATGAAGTGTTAGGAACAGATTTGCCTTAGGTTGATGTTATAAACTGTAGAGAGACTAGTTGAGAATAAGAGACCTCTCATCTAGAGGTAAAATCAGGGGTTACGTCCATTGTATATTATATATACAATAAGTAAGCATTTTTGGGAACACTGGATATAAGACCATATGTCAGAATGACTGCACTTCTTTCTTAATCAAAGTTAGTCTATGATAGAGGCTTGAGAGAGGAGACATATCCTGCTGGGATAGGAAGAGTCAATTGCTGAGGAAATTAAGAGTTTGATCTCTGGCAAGTGAAATTGGCGGTTTAGAATATGCAATTGGCCAAACATAAAGATAAAAATACTTATTGTTAGGATAACATAAATAGATACTAACTATCACTATCAATCCAGAGTTAATTTTCCCTTAAGGGCACAGAAAAGCCATTCAATATAAGAAGTCAAATTGAGAGTTGGATTGAGAATGCCATCAGGAAATTTGTAACACATAATTAAGTGGGGAAGGATCTTTAAGGCTGTCTGGAACAAATGGGAATCCTTGTCAGAAGCTAAATATCTACGTTGAGAAATGAAGAACAAAATGAGGCATGTAATGAAATGTGATTGAGAAACGTCTATGACTTCTGTGATTTATGTCCTGCTTCTTGGATGAGTCTACTTCAGTTTTATGGTAAATAGGTTAATCAATAATTTTTATTAGGCAAAAAGGAATATCAATTCCACCCTCATTTTCTATTTTTGATTTTTTTTCTTTTTACTATGTGTATTTCCTAGGTTTTAAACTAAATTCATTTATACTACATGATCATCTAACTTTAATTTCCAATAGTTTCTGTTCAGTTCATTTTCAAGTATAGATAGCTAATTTAGCTATTTTTGCTGCTTAAGAGGATATGATACAGGTATTAATTCAAATATTTGTGAAAGATAGGCAGTAGGTAAAATATGTTGTGCAAAAAGAAATTGTAAAAAATAGGTCTGAATATTATTCATTTAAAAACTACTTATTGTTCAAAATGATTGTAATTACATAAATACTATTACTTAAAATGTATTCATTGCACTTGGGCTCGTTCTGTCTCATGCTTTTTATTCACCTCTTTTTACTGTTCAATACCCCAAGCCCTCTATAGACTAAAGCATCATGTGATTTAAATAGAGACCAATTTAACAACTTTCTTAAGAGCACCAGCACTACAACAGCTCCATTCATTGAACTTTTTCTAAGCTCCAGTCTCTGAGGAAGAGCAGAGCAGGCACTGTTCAATTCCCACAACAACCCATGAAGGCATTTCTATAGAAACCAAGACTCAACAAAGGGTGAATTGTAAGTTGTCAAAGGTCATGGAGCTGCTATCACACTTAGGATCAAAAGCAATACAAGTCCAGAGTCACTATCCACTTAAAATCAAAGTGAATTTTTTTTTCTGCTGTTTCTGCTTTTCCTTCTGCAGAATTAACCTGCCCTGAACTTAAGGGGTTCTAAGCAGCAGCATATTGCCTCTTATAAGTTTGTGTATGTGTGGAGAGTAGTAACTAGATGAAACTAGTGTGGTATCAACTGGGACTACAGTTGCGAGGCTTTTTGACTAGACAAGCATGCCTAAAGTGGCTCTCTCAACACGGCCGGTAGGTAGATAGCGGCTTAATTGGCTTGATTCATAGATGGTACTGTCAACTCAAGCAATTTGGGCATCCTCCCGAGAGCATCACTGCTTGATTTTAAACATTCTTATAGATATCAAGTGGAAACATCCTTAACGTAGGACAGAAAGAAATGCAGTTCTATAATGACTCATCCTTATTCACCCATTGAACATTAATACTTCTGTGTATTCTGTTGATAAGGAAAATTGTGGGTACAACCTAGACTCAAGAGAAAGAGAAATAGACCACTTATTTTTTGTAAAGGTAACCAGAAATATTTTAGCCATTTTAATTTATGTATTCACTAATGTATTTTCATAACACATCATATTGGTTTCAAGAAAAAAGATGACTTGGTGTTTATATTTTAATGTCATGAGATCAAATTCTTTTTAGGTATGTTCAGTATTATTTATTGGTTCTCATATACTTTAAAATTCACAAAATACTTTTAAAATTATTTTTAATGATATCCTGAGGCGCTGGATAAATAAAAATATTTAAAACATACTTCTATCATCATGATCTTATTTTTTTAAGTATTGTTTTCTTATGCTAGAATACTACCAACATGAAACCATATCTTCCTGTAATTTTCTTCTTTATATATTTAGCAGTTGAAGTTTCATTGAGCTTTTACTTTAAGGCCAAGGAAATGGAAGTCTGACTCATTTTGTTAATGATGAGAAAAATATTGACCATACTTTTGTATTGATCAAAAGATTGATTAATTGTATATTTCCAAAATATCATATGCAATGGCTAGAAATATGCATGACTAATTACTGATTATATATGAAGCTAATAGTAGGACCTCACTCTACAGAAAAATCATTATTATTTTATAATATTGTTTTTAAAACACTGAAAATATGCTAATGCACAAAGACAATTTTATGTCATAATCAAGTAAGAATTATTTCAGGAAATCAATAGTACTTCATCACTCAAGATTTAGAAAGAATTTGCAAATATTGACATTAGCGTATACAAGACAAAAATATAGACAAATTCAATACCTACTATAATAAATGAAAATCCCAACTATTTGATTTTACCAGTAAGATGCAGGAGACAGATACTAGAGTGAAAACTTGATGGCTCAGAGAGGCAGAGAAAGCACACAGCTGTTCTTTCTACTCAGCCTAAATCATAGGAGGAAAAAAGGCTGATAAATCAATGGAGATCCCAGGAGGAAAAAGCAAAAAGGCAAAAAGCTGAAGTGCTAAAGAGTCAAAAGCTAAAGACCAAGTACCCGAGGAGCTCTTTCTTCTCCACACTGTCTTAAATACCCTTCAACTCAAGTGCCCCTCCGTTTACTTTATCCCTGTCAGCCTTTTTCTTGCTTTACCTCTTGATCTAGGGTTAACTTTATTAAATCTTGTATATAGAAATCTCTTGGATTAAAGATGTATGATACAGCTGAGACACACCATAATCACCTGTTCACAATAAACAGAAAGTTCTTGGATTAAAGGTGTATGTTAGGGCTGAACCGCACAAAACAAGAAGCACACTTTTACATGATCATGGGAGAGGAGAGAAGAAGGCGGAGAAGAAAGGAGAAAGCAGAGTTGCCATGGTATATTAAGAGAACAACTTGGGCCTAGACGAAGGTCTCCAAGAATGACCAGATAAAAATATAAACAAGTATTTATGGCGGTATGGATGGGAGGTAGCCTCAGATGGGAAGTAAAGGTTGTTTAGAGGGTTAATATCTGCCCAACCCATGCTGAATTAGACAAATATGAAATCTAACAGGTGTTTGTGTCTTTATTAATTATGATAGCAGGTGAGATAATACTGTCATAATGATAGGGCTAATAATATAATTTCATTAAATTTTTATTAATCTCTTTGTTTTGTTTTGTTTTACTTCCTTAAAGTGACACAGAAAACTTAGAAGATGCTGGCTGGAGAGTCCATTTCTTCTATTTATACCACAGCTCTGGTAAGATCTTTCACTCTGAATTATAGAATTTGTTACAGAGCATACTTTGTCTTATCTCTAAGAACTTCTCCTCTATGTAGAGGATTTTAATCTGGCAACATTGCCACTCTGGCAAGAGATCACATTTAATGACCTAGGTCTGTGTAATCCAGACCTTAATATTCAACTTTAATCTTTGTGACTGGAATACACACTATTAATCCCTCTAGCTAGAATATAGACATGGCACACCTTTAATTCCCTCTGGCTGCAATGGAAAACTTGCCTTTAATCCCAAATATACTTTAATCCCAAATAATGATGTCTGATTATGAGCAGACAAAATGGAGAACCAGAGAAAGATTTGACAGAATGTGTCAGAGATAGGATTTCCCCCAGCTCTCACAAAAACAGAGAGGAAAAAGAACATGTATAAGAGCAGCACAGAGAAAGCAGGAGTTCATGGAGACAGTACAGTAGAGTTGGAGAGTACAGAACAGTTCAGTGCAGTTTGGTGAGTGCAACTGAGTTTGTGCAGTTCAGTTCATGGAGTCCAGAGGCAGTTTATTCAAGTGGAACAATTCAATGAGAAGCCTATGGAAGCTAGTTTAAATCAGTCAGCTTGGGGTGGAGTTTTGAAAACTGAACAGCTGAGCTGAACCAGCTAGCCAGAGTTCAGAAAGAACTAGAAAGATTGAGCTTACTCAGCAGTAAGTCACAGGGGCTGAAAACATTCTAGGCCTAGGTTTTCAGATGTAGGCTGGATACTGAGACCTTCAAGGTCAGGGCTTGCAGAAGATTAAATTGTATGGAGAATGAAAACTTCCAGGCCTAGGCCTAGGGATGGTTAGATATAAAGACTCTGGTCTCAGCCTAAGGCATGTATATGTAAAGCCTGGGTACAGCTCTCGTCTCATCCTATCACCTGAGGAAATAAAAATAACTTTATATCAGGAAAGTGTCTTCTCTGGCTCTTCACTATGAGATTTTGAAAATGAGAGAGTTCTTGGAAATAATTCCTGCATATACTCATGAACTTCATTAAGAATTTATCTCCCAGGATTCTCTGTCTCAGGCTAGTCTACACCCAGTCCCCAACATTTTTATGAGAAAGCATAAAGTCTCTTATCATGCAGTGGATCCTGTAGTCTGGTTCAGGTCAGTAGATCTTACCTGAGGTACTGTAACTGGAGCTATCCACATTTCTCAGTGGCTTTAGCATTCCGTTCTCAATTCTCTGTAATCCATACCATGGGTCTCTGTTCCTGTTGTGTGAGAATGCTATACTGTATAAAATCATCATCATTATTTTTTCCTAAAGCCTATATAGAATTTCACAGTGAATGCTGTGGTAAAAAAAAAAAAAAAGTTGGTTTGATTAAAACTTGGCTATTTTCTCAGTTTATTCTTCCCTACCCCCCACTTTGATGTTTTTGTTTGTTTGTTTTGAGATGAGATCGGGGTGACAACCTTCTAAAATTTTAGATGTTAACATTGGACCCATATGTTTACTGAGTTTTTCCAGACCAGCAATATTTTGGCCTATTCTTATCTAGAAGAAGAGATGACTCTCATGTCTTCCAATTCTATATTTGCAGATTCAGCCAAACAGAGATCAAAATACTTAGAAAAAAAAGTACACATATAAGACTTTTTTCTCTGTTATTGTTCCTTATCTAACACAACATCTAAGCCAGTTTACTTTTCTACCATATTAGTTATTTCCAGGAATTTGTGGTTCTCCCTGGATGTTATAATATACTTTGTTGTCATACATACTTTATACAGTCTCCTATGAAATTGTATAAAATGACCTTTAACCTCCACAGGTTTTGGGTTCCAAGTCGGGACTTGAGAACAGTTCTACAGACCTTCATAACTGAAAAATAAAGTCTGAAGTACTAATTACAAATCTAAGTATTTAAAATCTACAAATACGGCTTGGTCATAGAGAATTATCAGGCTTTTGCTTCGGTACAGCATCTAACAATACAGGCATGTACACAGGTAGCTTTTCTCTTTTTCGGTTACTACCATTAGCAGACGTAGTAAGTGTCTTATGTCAGCCACTGCTGATGAGGTCCCCATCCTGAAACTGGCAATTACAAAGTGGTTGACAGTGTGGATATCAAATAAAGATCCCGTGACAGTGAGTGAAACAGACATTAAATGGAGTAATACTCCTTCTAAGCGATGTGACAAAGAACTTCCAATCTGGTATAAACACACTAGTATTATTTTTTTCAAAGAGATTCTTCATACACTAAATGAGAGCCTGAATTTTATTCTTTCGGATGGCTTTGGAATCAGATGGAAGGAGCAATGGTCTTGGTTAATTGTACTGAAATTCTGTAGTAATTATACCTGGAAGTTTGAAGGGGCCCAATTCGTCAACTCCACAGTTGATTATTTAAAACCTATTTCTGTTCCCCAAAGCTATGTGACACAGAATTATAATAAGTGTTTAAATTCAGCTTACTGTTACTCCAGAAAGCTTGGAAATGCCTTGTGCTAATTAAAATTGCAAATTAACTAGATATCTTATCTTCAGCACTTGAAGCTGAAAAAGCCAAACAGACAAGCACAAAATGACAATGGCTTATTCCCCTGTATCCTCATGTTTCCCATATATAGCGTGTGAAAATGGAGGTGAATTTTGAAATATCAGATCAAAATTTATTTTCACTCTTTCTTTACTGACATTCACATCCAAGGGACAAAAACAATGAGAAGCAACAGAAGAGGGGCCGGAGTTCCAGACTGTTGTTGATAGAGTTGATAGGCAGTTTGAGTGGACAGATCCACCAGCGTGCAGTACCCAAGCAGGCCAGAAGAGGGCACTAAGTCTTCTGGAACTGGAATTCTAGAAGGTTGTCTTCTGGAAGAGCAGCCTGTGCTCTAAACCACAAAGTCACCATAGGAGATAATATACCCCAATTTAAAAAGTGAAACCCATGTGTAGCCTGAATGCTGGTGTGACCAAGGTGGGGGGACTTCATCTTTATATCCTCAGGAATATGTTAAGTTTAGCACTAGTTCTTTAGAACAAAAAAGTACAGATTATTGTTGTTGACAACTAGCTAAATCGGCAGATTTGGGGGCCATGAAGCTCATTCTTCTGCCACTGGTGTTGCTTGCCACTTACAGAGATGAGTTTATGCCTTTGCTTCTGTTTGTTTAGGTAGATACTTCGATTACATCAACATCAGATGTGTGAAATTCACATGTTTTATTCCTTTCAATATTTTGGCAAATAATCTGTAGTTTCTTATGTTATATATGACAAGATTTTTTTTTTTTTTTTTTTTACAAAAAATAACAATATAGTCCTGCTTCTCCACCATATGATGGTACTTTCACCTAAGATTTGTTACATTCTTCCTAGAAACATTTATTACCTGTTATGATACAAATGTGAAGAGAAAACAAAATCTGGTAACAAATTGGGTAGAATTTTTTTTTTTTTAGAACTCGTTTTCAAGATTAATGAAGGCTTGTGTCTCTTTTGTGTACTCAACTAACCTTTCCCGTGTTTTTATATTAATCAAAAGCCTGAGTCTATCTTTAAAAGAAAGTTCTTGTCCACTTCCCACTTTGATGGAGTTTGTTCCTTATTCTCATTGTTGAGTAAGGACACTGGGCAGTAATATGTATTCTCCTGAGCTGGCCAGAAGCTTCTATTCCTTTATCTATATGTGTTAATTTACAAAACTCTTGTTTTTTTAGGGCCCACATCACTAGAATAAATGTCTTTATGTCCATGCTCTTTCAGTGCTTGCTGTTTGTTGTTGTTGTTTTCAGCATATAACTCATAAATGAGAATACTGGCACCCACTGTTCAATACATCCAATGGTCTGAATTCCCAGGTCCTTGGTTTTCTTACATCTGACAGGGTATCTCTGACAACTCTTCTCCATTGACTACAACTTCAGAATTAACAAACCAGTAAGTCCCAGTGTTTTTCAGTTTCTAGTCCTGGCCACTTTGGGTTCTCAAGCCTATTTATTCTTCTGACATCACCAAGTTATTTTTTTTTTAATATACTTTCCTGACAATAGGGTTTATCAGTCACCAAGGTTCATTATGGACTAAGTAACTTCTAGAACCACAGAGTTTTTAGGACTAAAACTTACACTATCCCAGAAAAAATAGTGTGCACCTATTTTAGTTCCACAAAAAACCCTTTGTAATACACTGGAAAGAACAATTCAGCTGCCAAGACTATCCCTATGCCCCCTTTCATACACACTGCTTGACTCAAGTGTTATTTTTGTCTACCACACTCATGAGGGTGTAGAACTGAGAGTGGTGTGGTATTTAAACAGTCTCTGTATACTTAACACCTGTTGCCTGCTGCAATGGCTTCTCTTTCCTTCATGGAAAAACTGGAAACGGACAAACTCTTCAGAGTCACTGCCCACAGACCTTCTTCCTGTGTAATGCTCATCATTGAAAAGAAGGAAAAAAAAAAAAAAAAAACTTCATTTCAAAGTTGTCATTTTCTTCATTTTCCCTCTTAAGTGCCTTTTATTTTACCTATGTCAAACTTTTTTCCAACTGACCACCAAATCTGATTTACACTCCTTCAAGAACAGCCCTAAAAACATTTAAATGTTTTGTTCCTTCAATGCCAATACCTATAACTTATCTTGACCACTGCAGTAACTTAATAACTAGGCATCTCAAATCCATATATAATTTCCAATCAATTTATGGTGTTCAACTCAAGTGATCTTTGAGAAAAGCAAACTGATCATTTCATTACTCTAGAATCAAAATGATTCATAGACTTCACATTATACTCAGCATAAAACTCCAGACCATTAAGATAATACAAGGAGTCCTAAATCATTTGGCCTGAGATTCATGTCTCCTCTGTTTTTTCCTCATATAATTCTGAACTTCCACTGATGTTCCTTGAACAAGAAAGCTGATACATATTACTTACTAGTATTCTCTGTTGCTGCCATTTCTGTAGTACCTTACATGGTACTCAGATTTCAAATTGTGACTAACATGT